CGGCGGCTCCGTCCCCCGGGGGGCCCGCGGGGCGGCCCCGCTCCTCCGCTCGCAGCTATTAATAATCGCTGCGGATTTTAATTGCAGCCACGTTGGGCACCGGCGCCGCGGCCGCCCGTGTCCCCCGTCCCCTGCCCTCCCGGGGGTGACGGGGCCCCTGCGCCCGCCCCGCTCCTGCTGCCGCCCTGGGGAAAGGGGGTTTCCCTGGAAAAGGAGCCCCCGGGGAGGGGAGGGGACAGGGCTGCGCTGGGGACAGTCGCCTTAAGCCTGTCCCTGTAAGCTGCTAAGGAGCAATCCTGCTCCGCCGCCCCGGGGCTGGTTATTCAGGGCAGCGACCGGTTGGGCATGTGTGTGCACGTGTGTGCACGCGTGTGCACGTGTGTGCACGCGTGTGCACGTGTGTGCACGCGTGTGCACGTGTGTGCACGCGTGTGCACGTGTGTGCACGCGTGTGCACGTGTGTGCACGCGTGTGCACGTGTGTGCACGCGTGTGCACGTGTGTGCACGCGTGTGCACGTGTGTGCATGTGTGCACAGCTGTGCACATGTGTGTATGTGTGTGCCTGCGTGTGCACAGCTGTGCATGTGTGTGCATGTGTGTGCACGTGTGTGCATGTGTGTGCATGTGTGTGCATGTGTGCACAGCTGTGCACATGCGTGCATGTGTGTGCACGTGTGTGCATGCATACACACGTGCATGTGTGTGCCTGCGTGTGCCTGCATGTGCACATGCGTGCACGCGTGTGCACACACGTGCACAGCTGTGTATGTGTGTGCATGCATGTGGTGTGCACAGTTGTGCACGTGTGTGCATGCATGTGCATGTGTGTGCCTGCGTGTGCACAGCTGTGCACGTGTGTGCAAGTGTGTGTAGGTGTGCATATGCGCATGTGTGTGCACACGTGTGTACGCATGTGCACAGCTGTGTATGTGTGTGCACGTGTATGCATGCACAGCTGTGCAGATGCGTGCATGTGTGTGCATGCATGTGCATGTGTGTGCACAGTTGTGCACGTGTGTGCACGCATGTGCTTGTGTGTGCACATGTGTGCGTGTGTGCGCTTGCGTGTGCACATCTGTGCATGCGCGTGCACGTCTGTGCACACTCATGGACACGCAGCTGCTGTGAGCGGCTGGCAGCGCAGGTGACAGGGTGTCCCCAAGCCTGGCCTGGACCCCCAGTGTCTTGGAGGCTTCTGCAGCCCCTCGTGTCACTCGTGTCCGTGTGTCTGTGCTTGTGCACACACGTGTGCATGTGTGTGAGGGGGGACGTGTGACAGCAACAGCCGTAGGTGTCTGTCCGTCCCTGTCCATGTGTCCACCTGTGTGTCCCCATCTGCGTGTCCTTGTCCCTTCGGGGTGCTCCAGTCTGCATGGGGACCTATCCATGTCCCCATCCCTATCCATGTGTCCCTGTGTCTGTGTCCCTGTGTCTGTGTCCTCTGCATCCGCGTCCCTGGCCCCATCCCTGTCTCCCTGCCCGTGTG